TTTTTCATATGCTCATTTCTGTTAACAACAATTCAACGAAGAAATGGATGGATTTATGAATTTATTCGCGAATCCACGAATCGCCGATGGATTCGAACGCTGTGCGAAAAAAGAAGGTTGATGCGGGGACGGACTATAAATAAGAGTACGCGTCATGCGATGATAATTCGTCTTCGCCGGCTCGACACCTCGAGGGCCCCCGGGCATCCCCCTTTTTAAAATTATTATCGGTCGGGAAGAGCCGGTGAAAAACTTCGAATTCGATGTATGGTGCCGAAGGAACAGAATGAAAGGGGCTTCCGGCTAGACAGAAGCAGAGACAAAAAGAGAAACAAGGCTGGGGAGAGAAAGCGGCGATGGATACAAACAACCGAGAGGAGCTCGACTCGTGAAAAATCAGTTTGACTTGTTAAATCCAGCTGGAATGGCAGACCTGTCTTTCTCAAACAAATATCGACTTGTACGAGTGACGAAGCTTCTGATATTTTTGATAATTCGTGTATCGTGCTCTTACAATTAGGAAGACGACATATTTTTATTTGCAACAAAAAGCCGCAGTCAACCGATTTCCACTGTTGGTTATTTCGAGAATATCAATCGACGTGAAAATATCGAAACAACAGGATATTCGGAAACGTTGAAAGAAAATCAGAAAGAGGAAGCGAAAAGTATCCGTGGATTCGAGTTACACGTAAATTTATTACGTTTATTTATTTTATCTTATTTACGTATCCATTACTGTACCAACAAGTACTGTTATACAAAGTTTAGACAAGTGTACGCACAGACATATAAATATACTTTAGCAACAAATACATAAGTTTAATCCATATCCGATGAGATCTTCTTACGTTATATAATATAATATAAGAACAAATCTACTTGATCCGCGTGCTTATTCGCGATACTTATTCCGCTAACCGTATCAGCGTGACTGAATATCGACTTAAAAGCCGGAACGTCAAATAAGAGTGACAGAGACACATTAAAATTGGTCAAGTCTAATGATGGCTATTGATTTTTTTATTTATAACATAACGAAGTACAAAAAAGTTCGCTAACATTTCTACGCTGTTCTAAAGCTGATTAAACCATCTATTCATATCTCGTGTAAAATCCTCGAAGAACCAATAAGGCGTGCAAACATTTAACAACGAGGAATCAGAGCGAAAGGCGGGAAAGCGAGAGAGCATTCTCGCGGCAATCGTGCGACGATGTGGTAATCAATGTTGTGATACGACATTAAGCGGGCATCAAGTAGGTTGGCAGACCCTTGGCACACACACGGAACCCGGCAGCAGCATCGGCATCGGGAACGGCGCAGTCTGCCCCTGGTGGAACAGCCCACGAGACGGCCAGGAGACGAGAGATGGGGCTAGGAACCCGGGGGTTTGGGTAACCAACTCGTGAAATTCAATTACCGAGTCCGCGGGGGCGGCCCTTGCAGAGGGTGAGAGCGAGAGAGGGTGATCGAAGGGGAGGGAGTACACGTCGGGAACCGAACTGGAGGACGAGGGGAGAGGTTTGAGGTGAAAAGGGAGGAAGGATTTGACTGACAGGTCGAGAAGGAGAAGCTGCCTGACGCGGGCCTAACTCTCGCCTATCTAACGTCGAATCTTACACCGTCCTTTACCCCTGTCGTTTCCTGGTCCCTTCGAGTAGGAATCGAGAAACCAACCCGAGGGGGGAGATAGCAAAATTGAAATTGTACCTACCGATATACGCGCTATCGCCCGAATGTGTGTCGGCGCTCGATTATTTTCCATTAGACGTAATTTAGTTAGAAAATCGCGATTAGGGAGACTCGCGACGATTTTAGTAATACTTGAACCTACACAATGTTAGCAAGCGGAAAATAATCCTCGATAACTTATTTCGTAGCAAATATAAACAAAGGTATTATTCCCTATTCTATCTAATATGATCGAGCAATTATCTCTTCATGCTTCTTCAACACGTTTTAACAATAATACCTTGTTGTGGCACGGGAATCCTTTTGGGCTAACTTTAATGTACTTCAAACACTCGCTGAAGGTAGATTTATCGTAATTTACCTTCATCTTTCTATATTTAGATATACATATATAATAAATGAAACTAAATATAGAAAGGTGAGGGTAAATTACAGTAGTACTGTATAACCAAGTAATGTCAACGACCCAAGGTTTGTTTTCTTTTTTGGTACTAGGTATTAAGTATTAGGTATTGGTATATATTATTGTCTCCTTCAGTGTTTAAAATTAATCTTATTACTTTGCCACGTGACTTGCCAAAAGAATGACTTTTATAATTTTACTCATCTATCCTTGTTTGCCTTTTTACCAGTTCTTTTTAACCATCGAGGAAGAGTTCGCGTAAATGGTCTCTGTGTCCTGCAAAATATATGTGTATTTTAATTATGACCTTGCCCTATTTCATTACGTTATACGACAAAGGGTGTTTTTTATTTCTCATTTAAACAAATAAATAAATAAATATCATGACACGATCAAATTTAATATATAGTATTTCAGAATAATATCTATAATATTTACAATATATAATACTTACTTAAAGATAATACTTCATATAGTTTAATGGATTAAACAATTTTCTATGTAGGTTTCAGCATTTCAATTACTATCCATAAGAATCTGAATTTCCATAAATATCCACAGTCTGCTTATAAACGAGCGAATATGTACAATAATTCTACAACCAAGGATGTATTTAATTTATAACCAACGACTGTTCTCGAAGGATCGAGAGATGGTGATATAACAGATGCCTGACGGATCCCCGGAAGGCTGTGATTTTGTTCATCCGGAGCGATAAAAGGTGAACAGTGGCGTAAGGGCGAACCGTGGCGGCTGCGTCTGCCAAGGCTTGTGTAATTATGTGTGAGGATAGAGTAACATGTCGGACATTCCAGCAGCCACCGGAGTCAGAATCCACCCTCGCCAGTTGGCCCGTTGAACTGAATAGCTAGCTAATGAACGCGAAGCCTCCAGTCTGTCAGTCCCGCACGTCCACCATGGGGAATGATCATCGCTGGGCCGTGGATGAAACCGATGCGACGCGAAACGTAGTTTCTAGTCGGCCAGTCATGGACTGAGTCATCTCGCGGCCAGTTTCTGTCCACTCTTCGTTCCGTCGCTACTCGATCATCTTTTCGATAAACTGTTCGATTCAACTGCAACACTTGAACGATTCTATTTCGACGTCCTTCGAGTGCCGCAGTGAGATGTCGATCTATGTCTTTACTGCTTTAGTTCTAAAATTCGAATTTTGTAAATAACTCTCGTGATAAATATGATAGGTTATGCCAATAGTTTTTTCGTTCTATTAGATTGGCAGCATGGTTTCTATTGGTTGATAGTGACGCCACCTATTGGCAGAATCTGTAATCACTCAGTTAGCAACCGAATATAAGGAAATAATAGATGCACCAGATCTTTTGTTTTATATTATTTTATTGAATTTATATTATCTTCTTGTATAACATATCATTCCCTTACAAAGGGAAAGAAATTTTTGCGAAACTAATATTTTATGTGCAATTTTGCCTTTTCAAATTTTCTATAAATGCATAAAAAAGATCGTGGTATATTAACAATTATTCGGGTCCTATGTTTTCTTCGCAAGTCGTAATTATTTCCAAGCTTCTACAGTGAAGATAAAGCAATTGCACTTTACGATCTGTCCCAATAGACACATCATAGTGTTTTTCATTGCGACACGCTGTATTAAAGATCTTAGGATAATAATCCCCGGTGCTAATCCATCGATCTTGTACAGAAAATTTCATTAATTATCCACAATCGTGATAGCCACGATACATATCTATAACAAAGAAATAAGAAGTTGGAAAAATGTTCGATTCGGGGAACTAGCGGCTGAAATAATCGATCGGTAACACAGTTCGGTCTAAGTTTCCTTGCGATTAAACACAATGCCGGGATTCTAAATCTTTGAGTAAACGCACGTCCAAAGCTCTACCTTTTTTTTATTACTTTTCCTCCTTTCCTTTTCTTTTTTTTTTTTTTTATTTTACTGACCCGGCTGACGAGAGGAGGGAAAGATAAAGAGAGCGCGCTACTTACGAGGGTCCAGTGACGAGGAAGGGGGCTGCCGCCACATTGTCTGTCGATTCTTCGAGGATGACTGGTCGTATTGAAAAACCGGAATCCCGAGGAGCGCTAATGTGGCATAACGCAGAGGCTGTGTCTAAATTTCTCTTAACAAAGATCCGCTCGCGCGCTGTTTCCTCAAACCCCGCGCGCACGCGATGGTCGAGTCTCGTATTCCTCCTGTTAATTAAAATCCATATCATTTATCTTTAACTTGCGGCGAAAAAAGCTGAACGTTTAGTCTTAGGTCGTCTAAGATACCTTCTTTTTATTTTTTAAACAGAAACAGTTGAATCGTCCATTAATCTTATTAGAAGTTTTTCTCGAACGTTGAGGGCAAGGTCGGTTCGTTCATCTGTTTTACATTTATTGCTTCTTCGACACGCTGTCATTGATGCATGACTGACTTTAACGCGTATACTGCGTCGCGTTAATTTACTACTTTTGTAACAAAACTTTGCCCTGTTTAAATATTTATTCAAACATTACGTAGTATATGTAACATGTTGCAATAAGCGATATTCTTTTACATAGATTTACACAATGCTATCGCGTTTTCAAGTAATTCGCTTCGATAAAACGATTCAGGGAAAGAGATACATAAAACGATAAGCGGTGCGTTGAAACAAACGTTATTATTTTATAATAAACATTTTTCTCGTGAGAAACAAAATAGAAGCGCAGCGTAGCGATATTCTGAAAGCTGCAAATGTATTAAGCTGTTCTTTATGAATAAACTTTATTATCATAAACATGCAAAAATCTTTCTTTGACTTTTTGCTTGTAGAACAAAAAGTTTGATGCTCGCGATAATAATAATTTCAAGGCAGTCTCCTTCAGATGACTGGCTGTAAATTTTGCTTGGGAATTATTTTTGGATTTTTCTTGCAGCTAGCGACGAGGAGAATCAATCAGGACACTCGAGCGACCGTGATCCTACGATGGATCCCGGCGCCGCGAATTCGAAGGACCCTCGTACGTCAACCGCAATCGTCCCAATAAAAATATTTCCTCCCCTGGCACGGAACGCGCTGGATTTCCTTCCCGACCGCGAAGAAAGAACCCAGAAGAAATAGATTCTCCCATTCCGAGGTATATTTCCCTCTGTGGAGGGGGAAACTTCGGGTTCCACATTTTCCAAATTCTTTCCCTCAAACAACGATAAATAGTCCCTGAAATATCTCGACTTCTAACAACCAATAACTAGACGATGAATATCTATGCGAATTCATATTTCTATCAATATAACTAGAAGAATGAAATCTGGATAGGAAACTGTTTTACCTAATGAGACAACTGTGATATCTAAATTGTATTTATTTAAAGAAAAAGACAGATAGAAACTTATTTTTACATTCAAAAGTTTTACATTCATCAACAACGCAAAACACATGTTACATATATTACGTTACATTAAAAATATATCGCTAGGAATATCAGTCGATCACGAAGCTATGCCACGTTTGAAAAATCCAGTCGATTTTAATTCGCTTTAAGTTGATTGTTATTCGACTCGCGCCAATTACAATGGAAAGTGAAGTGAATTGTTCCTTTCTATTCTACGTGGTTGTTATATGGATCAGTAGGGTACTCTTATTTACTGACTCGACAAACTTCGAATCTCTTCGTTTCTTTCGCAAAGCGATTGCGTAACGATGGTGCGGAGGTAGCATTACGCAATCGTTACCTTCCTCGTTAAAGAATTAAAAGAATTCGCGTCGCCTCTCAGACAAACAAACGCTGGCGGCGTTAAAACATGGTTTCGCCACTTGTCGAAATAAATTACCGCCACACCCGGCTGTAAATGGGCGTGTAAGCGGTTTCACCCTGGTCAAAGACTCCTCTAGAAATAAACGTACAGATCGTAATTATCTAGGGACGAGCAAGAGGCTCTCCGCCCAACGTTTCTCTCTTCATCTTCGCGACGTGTCCGTTTGGACGGACAACGCGCGAACCTAACTCACTAATCTCCTCCCGTGAGAGATCGGAGCGGAGGAATATGAAAGCAAAGGTCGTGGATACTGCTTCGTCATGTGCCTCTATTAGACGAGCATGGGGAAAGACTTCTTTCTCGAGTTTGTGCGCCTTTTTTTTCTTAACCCGTGTTTCTTAGCCTTTATTTCTCGATTACGTGCATTCGGTATTAACTAATGTCACGGATTATTGAAACCGAGTTGTTGGTGATTAGTTAGGATATGGAGTTATTAGTTGTTAGTAGACTGCTGACTTTTATGTATTTATGGAGAGTTTGAAGGTAGAAATGCGCAGAATGCATTTGCTTGAGAGAAGAAAAGCACGATAAATCATATTTCCATATATTTTACAAGGAAACAATTTTAAAATGTAAAATACCGTCAGTCATTCAGATAAAACTCTGTTTCTTCTATGTTTCTTCTGTTTGATCTTTGGATTACGCGTAAACTTCAAAAAAAATTTTGTTGAAACGCTTGTAATAAAATATTGTTGTGCTAAAGTATTTCCTCTAAGCCGAAAACTAATATTGCGAAAATCAACGAACCATACCACGTTATAAATTCTATAGAAAAATATACCATTATATCCAAAGTGGAATAAAAGTAAACGAAAATGTACATGTTAAACACTCCGCCTGTAGTTTTCAATTGGTTTCATCAAGGATGAAAAGGAAGGTAACATAGATCTTCAAAAATCGACCCACACTCCTGCATCAAGGGCTCAGCATCTCCACAAAAGTCCGCACCTTTGAACGTGTCACCTTTCGTTCGCCTAAAATTCGCGCTAAAACCAGACCGCGGGAATTGGTGCGACGAAGTTGCCGGGCAGAATTGCCGTGAGAAAGCAGAACGCGTTCATCTCGGCTACCTGCACGTGCGGCCTGCTATACGAGAGGGCAGAGTTCGAGGTATAGCGGGGGTGTGGGCGCTCGCGAGCTCCAGGAAGGACCCCGTGTTGTCGTGGCGTGGCACAGGACGTTGTTGCAGCGGATGGACCCGACAGAAGGAATCCGGCCCACAAAAGATTCCGCCGTGAACCGGTCACCTCTCCTCCCTCCATTCATTCGCCCTCGACTCAATGTAGATTTTTCCCATAGGTAAAAGATCAAGAGCAGAGAGTGGGGTGAGCTCGTAAGAGGGGGTGGTTCCAGGTAAGAGAAGACGAGGGCGAAATAGTAGACCGTACACGCACAGCATCCGGAAATCTCTACTTATTCGAGACATTCAATGCTTCTCCAACTCCCCACTCTTCATCGTAGTCTTTTCCTTCTTTTTCTTTCTTCACCTACAGCGAGTCTCTCCTTTCTCTTTTTCCCTTCGTGTACGCTTGTCGTTTCTCTTCCTCGTTCCATCGTACAGAATCCTACTTTTGTGTCGTTATTACCGGATCGCGGGCGAATCACAAGCTAGATCTGATCTACGCGGGTTCAGCTCTTCTACCTACTTATCCGTCTCGTCGCCCACTACTTTCTTTCTCCTTTTCTCTCTGCTCCCTCGAGGGGGTCGGCGCTTTTGCCAGAGAACCCCTTCTTTCTCGATCGATCGATTACCAACAGGGCACCAGTGGTGCGTTTCTTTTTTTTTTTTTTTTTTTTTTGTTTCTTCGATTCCAAAGGAATACCTCTTTGTTGGCAGTGAGGCGCTCGAGATGCATCGATCGATCTCCTCGAGATAGCCCTTCTATTCGAGCTTTGTTTCGCGGTTTCTCGGAAGCCCTCGATCTCGAATACTCAAGGCACCCTTCTCTTCAGCTTTGCGGACGATCGTCGAACCTCGCTGTTCTTTAACCCTCTCGTTCTTTGTTTCTTTTAACTTTGAAATTTGTACTAGGGAGGGAAATTTTTATCGAACGTTACTCGCTATTTATCGAGTTATCGGATATTTGTTAATGGAATTGAAAGTAATCTTTAGAGTTGGTTCGCGCTTAACCCTTTCCGCGCGGACTTCTCTTTCTTCCAGACAACACAATCAGGTTATAGCATTGGCTATATAGTAGACCCAAACCAGAAAAGAATGCGAGCCACTTGTAATTTCTAAAGCAAGCAAAGTACGCATTATTGCAGCAGATGGCAGCAGCAGAACGTAAGTTAAACGACGCTACAGTTTCCTTAATTTTCTGATTTTAATGTCATGATCGAACGAAAGAGTTTTCATATAACATAATTAAAAATGAAAACATTCTGGCAGATTTAAAGACATATCGTTTAAAAAGTAGCAGCTAATACACAAACGAAATTTTGTAAAATCAAATGCTACAACTATCAATGCAATAATGAGACATATTTACCATTAGTCTCATAAGGGTTAAGTATCCTTCTTTCCGACTAAAATACTCTGACAGGAAGGGAAAATTTCCTAGAAGCCTCATTGGACCATGATCGGAAGAAAGGAATCGTGAGAAGCGATCCCATTTTCCAACACACACCGCAGCTCTCCTCAAAAGATTCTGTTTCCTTCCTTCAGTCCGGACCGCTCGCTCCGCGTCCATGTACATTTTGATGAAGGGTGTACACCCCTTGCCTCGGTCCATCTTGATTCGCGACCTACTACGAGGAAACGCGACGAAAGGCCGAGGAAACTACGATGGACAGATAATGACAGTATACACCGAGAGAGGGTTCCTGAAATTCTCCGTCGATGGAACTGTTTAATTTGTCCTTTGTGTCCCTCCTTCCGTGGTATCGGTGTCCGTGATCTCGCGACTGATTAGAGGAGTCTGATTTTTCAATTCGATAAGAAACCATCTTTGGAAGATGAACTCGAAGAGGGTTGCTAACATCGAAGGTAATTTCGGGTGTATTAATGATACGCTAATTATGATCGTAAATGGAAAGCTGATTCTTTCCTTCTCGATTCGATAAGAAGCTATTTCTGAGACATGGAAGACTCGTACACATATAAACATTAAAAACATATAAACTTGAAAGAGCGATATCGAGGATAATATGAAAAGTTTTCTAAAAATGGAAATACGATGTACAAGCTTTATATACAAATATCAGGGCGGATTAATTTGTTATCTTCTTTGGCATTCAAACGTAACTAGCAACTATACATAATACTGGCTTTGGTGTTTGCCCTCTGCACTCACACTTTGCACTTCCACTTTGCGCCAACGTTTGGTAAACATTGCGATCTGCTTCTTCAGGGCAGATCTGAAACTATGATATATTAATCTTATAATATAAAACATCGTTGATTTGTTGTTGGATCGAAGAGCTCCAACTCGAATTTCCCACGCAATTTATTGAATATATTATTTTGTATCGCGGACCCTTATTTCAGAAAGCTGTCCGATTTAAGGTATAAATAAAAAGACGAAGAATAATAGTAAACGGAAAGATGATTCTCTTTGTACGGTTCTCACGGGAAAGGGGAACGATCCAGGGATCTGTCATGGATCGTGGGTAATCGATTACGCATCTCATACGTTCGAACGCATTTTTCTTGCATTCTCCGCTTGTTTATTCGTGTCACGGAATCGAAACGAGACTCTGTCTAGACACGAGCGTGACAGCTTCTCCGCTCGAGCATCTATCATAAATTATCATATTTTTAAAAAAAGACTCACGCGAGACGAATTTTTTTTCTCTCCTACAGTTTCTAGAACGTACGTCTTGAACTTTTACGAATGTTCAAGGAATACTCCTCCACCTTCGATAAAATTGACAAAAATTCACATGTCGGATATATCTAATTAATCGTTGCCAACATACATAACACGTGAAATCCAGAGACCGAACTCTCGCAAATATCTATTGTTAATCTCGCGATATTAGGAAATTTCCACGTCTTCCACTAGCCACGTGGTATTATACATATATTTACGGTACAAGCAAGTTTCTTAGAGCGGTTGCCGAGTGGAACACGATAGGCCGAAACAAGACCATCTTCCTAATTGGTCCATTCCGGATAATTAATGGCCCGTTAATTAACGCCGACAGATGCATCAACATCCTCGCGCAGGTGCTGCATTCTCTCATGCCCTTTGCTCCCAATCTTCCTATCCTTTTTGTTTCTCTCCAACTCTCGAGTTTTTCTTCGTCGTAACGAGAATGATTTATCAAAACCGATGAAAGAAACGATTCTGTGTGTGAAGAAGCCCACTAAAAAAGAGTTGTTCGAACGAAATATTTATTAGAACGGGCTTCGAGTCATTCGAAAGGGAGGGACAGAGGGGAGGGGGGGAGAAGATCGAGAGTACAAGGGAAGCGTTTCCGCGAGGAACTTCTTAGGCAATCGGATCGGGCACAATCTCGAGTACTTATTCTTGTTCGAAAGGAAACTTCACCTGCCATTGAACGCGTACCGATCTCTCCTCCTCACCTGTTGCGTATTGTTGCACTCTCGAGGCAACCCGATTTGCACGGTGAATGCACTTACGGCCGTCTCTATCGAGGACCGTATGAAAAACGCGACGCGACCCTGGCTTTTGCCGAAAAAAAAGGAAAGAAAAAAATAGGGAAAAAGGAAGAGAGGGGGCTGAACTCGCGCGCGCACGCGTGCGTCCTTTTCATCGCGAATTCTATTCACCCCGACCAACTTCATAGAAACGCGCCACGATTGTTCGGCCGCCTCTTGATCTTGATTCCCTGCCGATCGAAGTCAACCTAGCTGGTCGATCTTTTTATTGGAAATACGCTCGAATAACGCCTATGGCTTTCGTTTTCTCCATGCCACCTTTGGGGTGCATCTCCGTTTAGGGTAATAAAACATGATCCTTTAAGAGGGTGTCGCTTAAAGGTAAACTTAATAGAATAACGGATTAATTGGATCGATGAATATGGAGGTAAGGATTTTTTAAGAAACTTTTATCTGCGCGTTATTCGTTTAAAATATCATACATTCGATCAGTGATCTTCTTTAGACAGTTCCTTTAAAACGTATCATCGTTTAGAGGAAAATGTAAAATGGAAAATAAACAGAAATAGTTAAAGGTAAATTTAGTAGAAGAATAAATTGATCGGATCGATGAATATGAATCTACGGATCTTTTAATAGAATTTTAATAAAATTCGATAAAATACGATGCATTTGACAGGAATCTTTTTTCTTCGGGGTGTATCGTCGTTTAGGCGAAAATAGAAGTAGAATGGGAATATTTAAGAAGGTAGCGCTAAGGGCGAACTCGATTGTCGAGTTCGAATTCGCTTCTAATGAAAGTAATTCCATTTGAATTCGAAAGAATCAAAGCTACGCATCAGAGTGACGTAATATAACAATAAAACATTTAGAAAGAAACAGGCTGCGAAACACAGAAACATAGGGTGCGTTTCATTTGAAAAATGCCCGTATCGATTCCACGTGGTTGCACGCAAATCGAATCCTCCGAGTGCATCGATAGCCGTGAAAATCGAATGACGATGAGCTTATAAACATTCGACGTGCCGCTTTTTACCCCCCTCCCTTCGCCTAATCTCGTCTACGACCACCCTTCCTGCGCTCTGAGTGAACCCTCTCGGATTGACAATTACCTCGCGTTTTACGCTTGATTTGGCTGACAACCGCGTGCAGCCGATTCGCCGTGCGGCCCTTCGATGAATTATAGCGAGAGAAAAAGTTTTTCCTCGCAGCCTTTCCCTCCAATGTTCAAGGTA